AAATATCAGTAACTGTTATTTATTGCTGCTTTTTCAATTCAATTCATTTTAGTTTATTTCAAAGTTTTCTATCTAAGGAAAACCAGTTGATTGCATCGACTCATTGACTCTTCAGCAATCCCCCACACTAAGCACTTGTAGCGACAATGGAGAGGAAAAAGTCCCCTTTAACAAGAAGAAACCTCGAGCAGAATCCTTTTTTAGTTCTTTCTTACCAAACATTTCATGACAATTATAACTTGGGTCAATAATAATAATAATAGTGCATGTCCCTGATTGCGTTTCTGTGATTTTAGGGGGTTTCACTTAATCAGAATCAGAATTACATTATTAATCCCTTGGGGGAAATTCTTTTCCTGCAGAGCAACTGTTTACAGAAGATAGAAAAATATGATCGTAAGTAAAATAGAACAAAATAGAGTAAATTAGACATAATAAAATAAGTAAAATTAGTAAGAATACACTCCTAACAGTAAAATGACACCCTTCCAATATAAACACTGTAAAATAAGATAAGGATAAGAATGACCAAAGGCAGGAATGATGTCCTGTGGTGCAGCTTGGTGAAATGAGTCTCTGACTGAAGCTGCTTCTGTGGGCGACCAGCGGACTTCTGTCTTGACTGTCTCAGATGTCTTATCTAAACATAAAAAAGATTGCATAACATCCTCTGCATTCTAACAGGTTTGCACAGAAGCCCAATAATTACCTGTTCATTTAAATGTGGTCAGTCATGATTTTATGCCTATAGAATAAAAGAAAAATATCCTTAATAACAAAGGGCTGTTACTCCCATAGACATAATATAAGAGTAAACCCCGCATTGACTGTCGCGGCGCAGGAATTAGGGGTGCCATCTTGGGGAGGTCGACCTGCTACCCTAACCTGCTGCTTTAAGCAGAACAGAAGAAGGATGCCTCAACACTGTGACAGATTTTTTTCTAAATCAACAGGTTGTTAACATCAGACCTCGAGGGATAACTTCATGAAGTCATCAGAGCTTTGGAAGACATTACTAAATAAACAGCAGATATACACTACATAGAATAGAAACTCCCTTTGTTGTCCCACAGTGGGTAAATTGTGGCATTCCAGCCGCAAAAGATTACAGCACAAGTGGTGACACAAATTTATTAAGTACCTTATAATGTGCATAAAAATAATCGAACAATTGACAGAGTAAAAAAATAAATAAATACGATCCAGTTTGTTCAGCACTTAAAAAAAACACAGCTGACCAAAATGCTGTAAATAAAAATAAATGAATAAAACATAAACACTATAAATAAAAACACAAAACAGCCAAAACATGTAAATACTGCGCATCTGAAGAATTGTTTGAAAATGTTACAGTATTTAACAATATTTTTTACAGTATATAAATATATATAAATAAATATATATATATTTATATATAGATATTAGTAACAGATATGTGTATATATATATATATATATTTGAGGATACCTGTATAAATATGTTTCTGTATATAGTAAAAAAAAAAAACACAAAGAATATTAAATAAACTGAACTACTTTTGTGTTTTCAGCAAAAAAAACAAAAAACTAAACAGTGAAAATAGGTTTGATATTCAGAGAGTTAAAGTTGATTAAAACTGATCCTGTTCCTGCTCAAAAAATACACCGACCGGATGGGTCGACCGCCCCAAGATGGCGCCACCAAATCACGTCGGTGCTCATAGAAAAAAGCGGTTGCTGCGATGTCTACTCTTATATTATATCTAATGTTATTCCATTCCAAGCGTGTTTTGTCCTTTTTGGCCATAATGAGCAGATCTAAATAGACATGTACGCCATCTGCTGGCAGTACTGCAGAACTACCAGAAATACAGATTATGACAAATGATGCAGCTGCTANCATAATGAGCAGATCTAAATAGACATGTACGCCATCTGCTGGCAGTACTGCAGAACTACCAGAAATACAGATTATGACAAATGATGCAGCTGCTAAACGGCCATCCTGGAAGGCCTCATGATAAGCTGCAAAGAAGCAAGGAGCATCAAGGTCAGAAATATTCCTGAATTTAATCTGATCCTCAATAGTGTTTTGGATTCTAGTAGCTGCCCCCTTCCCTCCAGCTCTCTTTATTTCAAATTGGACAGTAAACATCAAAGGTGTTATGGAACAACATCCAAATACCTTTGTAACTTTACTTCAGTAGAAATGTTTTCTATCGATACTTTACTGCAGTAATTATTCTTTATACAACTTTTCATTTCCTACTCCTTACAATTTAAAAAGGGACTCATTTGTTTTGTTTCATTTCAGCTCATTTTCATTATGTCCTGTTGGTATTTAAAAAAATAAAGATCATCAAAATAATCAGTTTAATTCAGACACTCAATTTATTTGTGGTTAGACTCAGTGCTGCCCCAAGTTGTTTTTCACCACATACCAAAATAAATATAATTTACTGTTACCATTAGTTAAAAAGCTAAGAAAATATAGTATAAGGATGTTATCATCCAAAATTGTTGAAAAATGTTCCTTTTAAATAAAAAAATAGAAACAGAAAATGATCTTACAATGTAGAAATTCACTCTCTGCATTTAACTCATCTCCTTGGGGAGCAGTGGGCTGCCACAGTATGGAGTTAAGGGTCTTGCTCAGGGACCCAGAGTGCAGGCTATGGGGTTCTTGCAACCTTCTCAGAGCACAGACAAACTGCTCTAATCCACTAGACCAACACTCCCTGCCAGGGTGGTGAAGTAATGCTTTTTAAACAGTAGGATTTATACTAGAGTAATAAACATCAATACTTTGGAAACCTCTGGGTACCATCGTACGAATTATATACAGCACTAACTCCTCAGTCAACATAAGTAAATGACAGTAGCATTGGTATCATTAATATTTTTATTAATGTTATTAATGCTCACATTCATTAACTTTGCAGTGACATCTGAATGCATCCACATCTTTAGCTTCCCCTACATTCATACCACTCAGACTGCTGGGAGCTCCACACTCACTGGCTCCATTGCTTTCCAGTTAGACACGTACACTGCATCATAACTCTGGACATATCTCAACTTCTGCCTGTGTTTTGAATGGTTAGAGTGTCAGTTTTGGGCCCCCCTCTGTGCTGGGCCTGGGACAATTGACCCGTTTGTCCCCCCTGTCGGTGGGTGTGAGTACGAGCGACTGCCCTATTAATTTGAAGAGTCGTATTTTGTGATTATCCCTTTAAGTTTGGCAGCAAGGAGGAGGACCATCTGGTCTAAAATGATAACGGCACTATAAAAAAAATCACGTTATCACAGAAAAGTGATCAACACAAAAAATAAAACCTGCACCAAAACACAAAAAGTGGAGTCAAAGAGTTTTATATAAATTAATTCACACTCTAAGGGGTGCACTTTTGTAAAAAACCTGTTTTTCTTCTACAGGCTTTACCAGTGCAGCTGACTGAAGAACCATACAATGACATCTGCTTTGAATCCAAATTACTTACTTTCACGGTTACTGAAAAGGTTCTGAAACCAGGCATGATACTTGGAAAAGGTGAGAAGGAGTCTTTTATTCTTTGGTTTGGCCCAGCTAGCAGTTATATTCTACTTAAAGATCTAAGGATAATTACGTATATCTCCAGTAATACCTGCTGATGTCCCCTTATGGGAAAGACAGATATTTTATTCTTTCTCTTGTATTCTCATAGAACATCTTTTTTTGGATTCACCTGCATTTGGCAGCAGATGGGGATTTACCATTAGGGAATACTAGCCCCAAGTTCCTGGGGCCCCATACTACTTCTTTTACATGTATGGTTAATACAACTATTCCTTATTTGTGCACATTAATTATGTTTTTGATAAAAATCCTTTTTGCTAAAATGCCATCAGAACCCTTATAGTAGTAGTGGCAGTCCACCGCTTAAGAAGTCCCTTAGTAACGAGCCAACCAGCCACAGGTGTGTGGGAGGACCAACGAGCACAGGGTGCCACCTGGTGGTGGAGGGGAAAAACACAAAAGCACAACCCACACAGACTGGATTCCTAACAAAATTTAGTTTAAGTAAACTTAAGCACACCGCAATCAGCTGTAATCAGGGCTGTCAGGCGACACAGGCTATGAGGGTCAAAAAAAGAAAAAAGGAAGAATAATAAATATGCATATAAATACAATAATTGCACATAACTAATTAACTTGATATCAATTCAATTCAGTTCTTTTCTATAGCGCCAATTCACAACACATGTCATCTCAAGGCACTTTAGTTCACCAGATCAAACAGTCAAATTGATTCAGTTTTCTATCTAAGGAAAACCATTTGATTGCATCGACTCATTGACTCACAGGCAATCCCTAACACTAAGCATGCTTGTAGCGACAGTGGAGAGGAAAAACTCCCTTTTAACAGGAAGAAACCTCCAGCAGAACCAGGCTCAGTGTGAGCACCCATCTGCTGAGGCCGACTGAGGTTTAAGGAGAAAGAAGCAGAGATACAAAAGGCAACTGTCAATCAGCTCCACAGGCGGCCACATCCAGGAAACACACAGCCAGGCAAACGAGCTCCGAGACAGCTCCCATGCCAGAGGATGAGGAGAGCACGTCCAGTTAGTTACAGTCAGAGAAACAGGACTGCACTGAAAAACAGGCTGATCTCCAACATCTATAAACAAAGGTGTTGATGGCAGCAGCACAGCTGATAATTCTCTCCAGGATCTAGTCACAGCCAAACAGGAACAGACAAGGTGAAGCTACTATGAGAAAAAGCAGAGAGAGCAGAATGTTACAGATGAAACTAATAGATTCTGCAGAGTGGGAGAATAGAGATAGAATGAAACAGAATGATGAAATGGGGGTCCTTATGTCCTCCGCCAGTCTAAGCCTATAGCAGCATAACTACAGAGATAGATAACGATAACCTGAGCCTCTCTAACTATGAGCTTTATCAAAAAGGAAAGTTTAAGCCTACCCGAAAAGTAGACAGGGTTTCTGCCTCATGGCCTAAATCTGGTAGTTGGTTCCACAGGAGAGGAGCCTGATCAATAACAGAATTGATTCCAAAATTCTTATATTTGTTTCTAAATGCGGGAATGGCCTTGCACCACTGCGTTTATTAGACTTGATTCATCCTAATCAGCCTACTGTACATAGTAAGCGTATCAACTGCTCTTGGCTGTTCCAAGGTTGAGGCTGAAATTTTGATCTTTGCTGTAGCACCTCTATGTTGTGAAACAAGTTGGCCAGATTGCCCAATGGCCCAATGGCCAGACCCACCTTGGTAGAGATCCTTTTAAATTAGATACTTGGCTTCTAGCTTACTTATCTTCAACGTCTCTCAGCTGATTTCACCCCCAACTCTCTGCCTTTAATCCTCATTGCTGGATTCATACTGCATGAAATTTAAAACTCAGAAGCTGCCTGCTAATCTTATTATTATTGTATGTGCGTGTGACCATTGGGAGCATAGCTAGATCTATAGTTACCATTGAGCTAGCCCACCAAGCAAAAATTGGTTGAAAAGACGTTGAAAAGATGATATGACTTACGTCTACGCGACGTCTATATTCAGTTGAAAAGTGAAAGGTGAACAGCTTTAAATTCAGATTGTTGAAAAGACGTCAAAAACTGGTCTTGTAATGTCTTTTCACCGTCTATTATTGGTATAAAGTGAGACAAAATCAGACCGACCAAACAGCCCAATTTTTCAACAACTATTTCTGGAATAAATCAAGATGTAGATGTCTGCTGCACATTAGAGCAATGAAGAGTTGATTTGAACAATGCAAAAGCTTTAAAGGGAACAGCTAACGTTTTTCCTTCTGTTTCAGTGGACCACTCCGATTGCACTGACATCATGATAACTGGTTCCATCTCTAATGATTTCACTTTCATGGCTAAACAGGACGGGATATTAAGGGTAAGGAATGTTTCATAAATTACAAATGCTCATGTGAAAATGAATTAAGAATTTCCTCTATCTGGGTGACATGGTTTGTTTGACCAAACCTCAGTATTTAAAGCCCATTACAAACCAGTATCAAATTTAATCAGTTAATCAGTTTAAGGTTTAACTTTGATTACTGGACTAGGGTTTATTCACAGGAAAGTACAAACGGATGAAAGAAACAAACAGGACAATAGTTCATAATTTTATATTTTATTTGACTCACACAGAGAAAGGGCCATCAATATGTCTATGTTCCTATGTTCCCCTTGGAAGACAGCTGCTCTTAGTTTCGCATGTCAGTTATGAGGGATTGTTGTAGAATCAATAGGTGCTTTACCATAACAATTGTGGACAAAAACATGTTGACATTCTACTTATAAGCAACAGCTGTAAGCAACAGCAACAGCCTAACTATAGTCTAAGGCAGCCCCTAGTAGAACTGATAAGGAATGCAAAAACACCAACCATAGCAACACTATAGATCCAGACTCCAACACCCCTAACAATGGTCTCCTCCAGGTGGCCCAGTTGAAAATGTTCAAGTTCCGTTTGTGAGACATGGGCTGTGTCCAACACCAGCTGTAACCCCTGAATAACTCCATCACTATACAGAGCGGGGACAATACAGTGGACTTTATAGAGAACTCAGTTAACTGACTGTTCAGACAGAAGATCACTACTTTTTGCATCCCATTTGTCATGTAACTCCGCCTCCCCAGATGGTGCCTGCACCATCTTTGTTATTTTTGTGCAGCGACAGCCGTAGGCGACAGCGGGGCGCTGTGACAATATAATCCAATGATGCTTGGTGAGGAGAGCTCACGATGGAGATAATCCATTTTGTTATCCAGTGAGCGGACATTGGAGAGCAGGATTAATGGGATCAGTTGTCTGTGGGGAATCTTATTTGCCGTTAGCCTACCTCTGCAGCCCCTCTTTTGCCTCCTCGCACTTTGCTCTCTCCGGCCCAAACCCTAGCCAGCCTGGTCCCTGGGCCCACTGTATTGTTTACATCTGTCCCAAGCAACTGTCAACATTGGCTGTATTTAAGAGTCCAGAAACAAAATTTAGTGACCGAAGCTCAAGCAGGCACTGGCAGTCGTAGATGCAAGATTGATGCCTTATTTGCAGAGTTCTAAGCTGGGTATTTTGTGGAGTTGTCAATACATGTATCAAGCCACTGCCTACAGGTGCAGCCATGTTCCTGATTCTTACCAAAATTTGGACTTTGCAACTCGGAGTCAGAACCTCTTGAGGCCTGGAAGAGTTTTGAATCCTTATCTGGTGTTATCCTGTGCTGATGTTACTATGGTGTTTCTCATCCAGGTAACATCTGAAGTCGTTCTTCATGAGGGCCATCGGGACTTCTCTATCTACTCGTTGGGTTCAGAGGCTCAGTGGATCATTACTTTAGCCAGGGTGGTGTATGATGGCCATAATCACAATATGACCACTGAGGTGGACGCTACCAAAGAACCGGTAGGTGTCGATATGGGCCAGAAAATGTAATTTTTTATTGTTGAGAATAGTTCTTCTGATTTACCTTAAGAAAGCTCACATTACCACGGATCTCTGCTTTTTGTATTTGTTAAACTAATTCAGTGATATTTTCTGTGAAACACTGCCACCTTGTGGCTGGATTTAGCATTTACTGTTACCACATGGCTATCGGTGCTGAGCTGACATTCCTTCTTTCTTTACTAAAATACTTTTGTGAGAGCTTGAGATATTAACCTGCTACAACTCATATTGAACTCATATTAGGAGTTTCCTCTCTAAAGGCATTTTTAGTCTTTTAACTTCTGTCAGTGAGCCCCAGGGCAGCTGTGGCTACAATGTAGCGTGCCACCATCAGCGTGTGAGTGTGAATGGGTGAATGACGCAATGTAGTGTAAAGCGCTTTAGTCAAGTCCTCTGGCTTAAAAAAGCAATATATTAGTACTAGGCCATTTACTATTTAAATTTAACATTGGAGGTACATTTGTTGTTGTTGTTAATTCTGGAAGCCATTTACAGTTTCTGTAGCTTACTGAAAAAAATCTATGTTTTATTAGGATACAGGATATCCGCAGGTTCCCATCCTGGATTTCCCCAAATCTAATGGAGGGCTGAAGAGGAGGAAGAGACACTGGGCTATGCCTCCAATAAGTGTTTCTGAGAATCAGAGAGGACCATATCCCATGCATCTTGTTCAGGTGAGATGAACTGAACCATAAAAATGGCATCCAGGCAATAATTAAAAAAAAAAAATCTATTATCATACCTTGTATTTTTAAGGTGTATACAGATTTATGTTTCCATTCTACCATTGGTGAGTTTACCAAAGCTGAATTCTACTCCCTTGAATAACTAAATTATTTGCTGAATTGTTTGCTAAAATTAGTAATAGTAATAAACACCACCTATGCACGATGATCAATGCTACACTTTAAACGGAAATGTTCATTTTACTGTCATAAGCTCTAAGCAACGTAATTTTGTTTCGTATACCGTCGGTGTGCTGGTTAGGATTCTCAGTTATCCAGGTCATAGTCATTCTCAAAAAAACTAAAAAAAAATAAAACCAATAGACTTGACTGTTTTCCAAGTTTGAAGACGCTTCCCCTTCCAACCAGGGAACTTTTTCAATTCAGAATGTCAGAAGTAGCATTGAGTTCCAAGCTTTATAGAGTAGCCCAACAAAGCCTTGTTTTGGCTTAGAAAAGATGCAATTGAACTGGAAGAACAGGTCTGCCTCTTAGTAGTAAGGGTTGTTGAGGTCTGTGTTAACCTGCAATACCTGATACTGGTATATGCCCCTGAAAAGGGGTGAGTTGTTAGGGGAATTGTTGTCCTACTGACCAGGTGAGAGGTTTCTGTCCCCTGTTTGGTGAAGAGGATTATGAAAGAGGGAAGGAATCAACTGTATCGCTGCATTGTAGGTTTTTGAAAGCTGAAACCTGAGTCCACCTCCTGTGTGTAAGATTGATTTTTCTGTTTTAACATAAATGGCTTCCTTCACAACCCTTTCAAACCGTCTTCTTTGTCCAAAATGTGAACATTCTTGTCCTCAAATGAATGTCTTTTGTCCATAAGGTGTAGATGTACCGCCTAGCTTTCTGGAGGAGATAGCTTTCCTGTGTTGGGCCATGCGTCTGTGGAGAGGTTGTTTGGTTTCTCCAATATAAAGATCACTGCATTGAACTGCATACACCACCCCAATCATATTTGGTCTAGGACAGAGGCATAGACCAGTATCTGGTATTGCAGGCTAACAAAGACTATAACGACCCCTACTGCTAAGGGGCAGACCTGTTTTTCCCGTTCAATTGCAGGTGAACACTCTGTGTATACGAAATGACACTAAAATTTGTCAAAGTCTAAAATCCTTTAGCCAGGGAGCTGTTTTAGGTTACAGTTAGTCCTAGCTGTTGGTGCTGTCACCTACATTAATGCCTCCCTTTAAGTTATTTTCTAGGTTTAAAACTTTTCTCATGCATGTTTCGTTCTGTCCAGATACGCTCTAATGTAGATAAGTCAAAGACGATCCATTACAGCATCACTGGTCCCGGAGCAGATCAGCCTCCCAATAATCTTTTCACCATGGACAGGGAGACTGGTAATCTGTATGTCACACAGAAACTGGACAGAGAGGAACAGGCGGAATACAAGGTAACTAGTTTTCTTTTCAATGCTGCTTTAAAAGATAAAGTTATTATTAATTGGAACAATTAACAACACCGAGCTTTAAACAGAACCCACAAAACATACTTGTTAATAAAATTAAATGTTCCTTTCTATAGCTTGTGGTTCATACTGTGGCAGAGGGAAGTTCTGGAAATGCAGAAGATCCTATGGAAATAATAATCAGAGTGATCGACCAGAATGACAACAAACCCGTTTTTAATCAGACTACCTATGAGGCAGAGGTTCCTGAGGCCTCACCAAAAGGTAAAGTAACCGGTTTCAGGAAGTGAACCCACAAAGAGGGAATTGTGCTATTTTTTACTAGAGTAAATCAGATACTAATACACAACACACTTAAAGCTACAGTGTGTAATAATTACAGGGATATATAGTCAGAAATGTAATATATTATACATAACTATGTTATTTTATCATCATCTACGAGCTCAGCCTCTTAACCTTAATATTTGCGTTGCCTTAGAATTC